TATATATATATATAAGAATGACCTACCATTTCAACATTCCCACCTCAGCACGTCATCACAGACTGAGAAGTAGTAGCTCCCCTAAACTAGCAACAAAACTGATGGTAAAATGTCCAAAAGGTTACATCATTGTTCATCCTAAAGTCAGCAGGCCTCATGGTTGTCAGTAGTGTGAAATTCAGTGTGCAGCTGCTCACCCTCCAGCTTTCAACTGGGAGGCAAACAGTGATGAGGTCATTACAATCTAAGATCTGCAGGAGCAAAAGCTCTCTGTCATTTTCTTTATTGTCCGATGAATGAATATCTTTTTTTAAAGTGTCCAAACTAAAACTTTAATGCGTAGAGATTATCTAATCAGAACACACTGAAATGTAACGAGTTGGATTTTCAGCTTTCAAACAACTATTGCAAAGCAGACAACTTTTAAAAGTAGACAAATTACAAGGCAACAAAGGGGAAAAAGGTGTTACTGGGACAACATACACCCCAGAAAATTCCTCCACTTGTCCGCAGCAACAGAGAAGGAACCCACAAAAACAAAGCAAAGCTTTCATTTTATAATATTCATTTATTGTTCAATAAAAATAAATTTAAAAAACTGACGTGATGTCTCCTTCATGACTTTGTTTAATGGATTTGCCAAAAGTTCCTTGTAAACATGGGTCTTTTATTCAAAAATAAAAAGCAGAGAATTCAACCCTCCCTTTTTAAAATTAGGTGCAATCTCAAAATCCAGAGAATGTACAGATGTTTGACCCTTGTAAGGCTGACAGCCCCCTTTTCACCTGCTTTCACATTTAGGCCAGATATAATACATTCACTCCCTGGTTGTCTTTATGTACATGGTTCACTTTGTGGCTGAGGGATTTGTTTTTGCAGATGGCCCTCATAAAAACTGCTTTAAAACAATGGGAATAAAGAGGACATCTAGGCGCTAACACAAAAGTTTAAGCCATCAGTAAAACCATTTACAACGTATTAGAACATCTTAATACAACTTTATACAGTAGTTGCATGTAAAACACATCTGCTAACGGGTTAGAGATGTCCGTAAACAATGAGACCCAACTCCTAGCTTCCCTTGTGACACGTTCAGCGTTCTGCAAGCCTGGAATGCTACAGTAACTGAGGCAGAAAGTTCTCTGACTTCACCCATCAGGCTTCTGTTGGACCGCACTGGTGCTACATTTAGATATGTGATTTACAGCAGTAAATGTTGCAGAGATGGGTTAATATAACTGGGTGGGAAAAATAATAGTTATGGTGAGAAATAGAAAACTAATTAAGTTGAACACTTTGCTAAGCAAGAGGTGCAGAATGTTGTTTTTAACTGTATTTTTTTATTGKGGGGGTTGTTTTGGTTGTTAAGAGGCTTCATTTTGTGTGCATTTGTTTTAGTTGYAGTTGCAGTCAATAAATATTCTGTATTTGAGAATTAAGCAAGCAAATCTCAGAAGATCTCTATGAGATCTGCATCAGTGTAATTAAAGAGAAAAAAAAACACAAAAAACAAATATGAAGCAAAAAATGTAAAACTCAGAGAATCAAACTTATTGAACCAAATGAGGAGAACAAATTTCCATTTGCTAATTTGCAAATGCAAAAAAAATATTGCTCTTTTATATAAATAACACATTCTTTCATTTACATCTCCATCTTCTTCCTGCATTTCCAGCTCAGGGAATAAACAAATAAAACGACGGGGTTACAC